TATCTGAAACAAAATATTTAAAAATGTAAACTTTTTTTAATTAGTGTCCAAAGCAACATTTCTCATTTTTATTTAGTTTAACTTGATCTACTAAAAACTAAAGCTGAAATATAAAATGAATAAAAACTGCATAGATATATATATAAAGATAATGACAAAACTCAACAAAATTACAAAAGTTTTAATTATGTTTAAAATGAAAACAGAAGCTATAAAAATGAAAAAAAAAAAAATTGTTTTCAAAATATTAAAACTGTTGTAGGACCTCAGTGATACTAAAATAACGATAGTGGCAACTTTTCAATGTGCAAACGCACATTTTCTTTATAAATAATGAAATTAGATCAGAGGCCTGAAATTATCGGGGTGGCAAAAGGGGGAATCAAACTCGAACCTCGGAAGCACGAGCAAGCCATGGTGCATTACCAGAGAGATTTAGATATTAACTCTTTCCCCCGCCAGCATTTAAAAAAAAAAAAAAAAGAAAGTTGCCAGCCATCGCCAGTGTTTTTGATAATTTTCACAAAAGTTTAACATTAGGCAGTTTTGATTTATATGCGGTTTAATGGTTGATGATCATGTTATTTTACCTAATGCATCTGCTTACATGTGCGATCACTTGTTTCTGCTTCTTCTTTGCCGTGTTTTGATCAAGATGTTCAGTACTCTTTCAGAAGATGCGTAATAGCGCCTCCTACCGTACACCAGTGAAAACATTCTGTCAATGGGGAGGAAAGAGTAAAGGGTAAAGTGATAAAATAAAAAGGCGTGGTTGAAAATAATGAGCAGACGAACATGAACATAAGCACCATCAAAATAATAACAAGACCAAGCATTTGAGTTTATTTCTGGCTTATTTTTGATTTCTTGTTGCACATAGCCATCAAAACAGGTGTGACAAATTGCTAGTTAACTAAATTTGCTGGTTCACAAACTGTAAAAAATAAGTTTAGTCCAGTATACTTGTGGTTTTCATTTGTTTGACCTTGAAGAAATGATCCAGGAAATACACTGAACAAAAAATACACTGAACGCTACACTTTTGTTTTTGGTGTACATAGAAAAAGTCTTAGATCTTTGAGTTCAGCTCATGAAAAATGGGGGCAAAAACAAAAGTTTTGCGTTTATAATTTTGTTCAGTGTATTTCACACATAAGGTGTGCAACCTTATGTGCGAAATATTTCCTGGATCATTTCTTCATTCAGTTCATATGCTCCACAGCATTATATAATCATCATGGACCAATGACAGTTCCAAGGTGTTTCACAGTCAGCACAAAGTTTTCTGTTAAGTAAACCACCAAAATGAACACCAAAACACTTTTGTTTTAGACAGATTTTGTTGGAGAATTGCTTGTTTTTGTTTTAAGTATATCGGTGCCTTCTCCATTAACCATCTCCATTAACCTCAGGTTGCTCCCATGGGATGTAATAATTGTACTATGAACAAAAGTACTTTACTATTTTACCATATTTCACTTTGGATAAAAGCATCTTCTAAATGATTACTGACATAACAGTGAATCCACTGGTATTTCAACTGCACGTTTCCAAGCTATTCTGTACATACAAAGTAGTGGACATAGAGCTAATCTATTTATCGGTATAGATCTTTAAATTTCTGTGCCCTTGGGAAAGTCAGGCTATTCCAGACAAGCATGAAACGGGTTGCCTGATTACGTCATTGTGATGGGAAATGAGGTGTTTATATTCAGAAGGTGAGCTTCACCAAAAAGCTTGCCATTCAGCATGCCCACATCCCCTCCATTCTTAAAATATTACTCCTTGGCAAATGTTCAATCTAATTACATTATGTAGAGGAGGAAGCTTCTCAGACAAATGGCTTTTTGCTCCCAAAATTGAATTGCATCCAAATTCCAAGACGTTAGGAGAGTGAATGAGAGTTCTTCATGGTTTTGTTTTCAGAGTTTTTCTGAATGAGTCTTTCTGTAATGTCTTGTAGGTTTGATCGTAAGCAGTCATGACAGATGTGTTGGACAAGTTTCAATTAAGATGTCAGAAAACCCAAGCTCATATGATCGAATCAGCGGTATGGTGCAAATATGGTTAGTGTGGCAGTCTGGGACTGTGTGTACTAGAGACTTACAAGGATATTTGTATATTACAAATTGGGGATATAAATATTATGTAACAAATCTGGTTCAAATTCTGATTCCAGTCAATTATTCTTTTAGTACTTTTGAGAATATCCAACCCACAACAAAACCGATACGTTAACAATTTAGTGATTGTTTTAATGATCAAAATACTTTTCAATACAGCAAAACTGTATAGTGAATCTCTAGCTGTAAGTACACATGAATCAGACATGACTTGAAGGTGATTTGCTGTGAGTGTGGGAATCATTAAGACTGAATCAAACCAAGTCTATTTGAGTGATTCATTTAAACGAACATGGGTGTAAAGTATTCGAGTAAATGTAATTAGTTACTGTGCTTAAATATATTTTTGGCTACTTTGTAGTTTTACTGAGTATCAAAGATATTAGCAACTTTTACTCTCTGGTTGACTACATTTTTTAATAAGTAGATTTACTCTTTACTCCAGTACATTTGTGATGAGTAATGCAACTACTTTAAGGCTGGGCGATATGATATTATCGGATATTGCAATATTTTTGAAGGCGATTATTGCCAAAAAAAAATTACATATCGCTAGGGATGGGTATCGTTAAGGTTTTAACGGTATTACTACTCTTACCGATACTGCTTATCGATTCGGTACTTTAACGGTATTCTTATCGGTACTTTTTGTTTATATATATATATATATATATATAAATCTGACAAATACAATAAAACATACATACAAATGAAATGAAATAAACAGTGCTTTCATTTTTCCATGAAGGTCTACTAACATTACTGTTCAGGTAAGTAATTACAAGTAATTAAGTATTACAAGTAAGTTAAGTAATTACAGTTTTCACTGTATGTATTGATAGATTCATACTTATTAAAGCTATAACGTAATACAGATTAAGAGCTGTGAGTGATTTTGTCTTTGCATTTTGTTGTTTGTTGTTTGATTAACTGATGGCCCAAGCGCCAGTCTGTCATGTTAAGACAATATATTGACACACATCGGATTTTCTCCCAACTGTTCTCGTCCACTTAAGACATAAAATGTGTTTAAGTAAATACTCTCCAAGCCGGCCATTTTGACATATTTTGTGTGTATTTGATCGTTTGGACATGCCCGAAGCTCAAAGTGTAATTAGCTTGTCCGTTTTGGAGCGCGTCGCGTGCACACATTTCAGCCTGGGGAACAGCGCCTCTTGTGCGGATTGTGCTTTCAACGTTTTATTATCAAACATGTCCCGCAAGTTATCAACATTATAAGACGGCCTTTTTTCAACAATCACCGATTGTGCTGATTCTGACTTTAAGTTTTGGTTTTAGGGAGGAATGAATGTGCACCGCTGTGAAGGGAAAAAGTTGCGCTAGAAGAAACGCGGCAAAAATGCATCATAGACAAATGTTTGAATATTATTGCATATAAAAACAGCTGGCGACTGGTGAGATAGAATTTGCAAGATAATGTATCTATAGCAATAATAAATGTATGTGTGTTTTCTTAATTTCTCCAGTACCGATAGCAGAACCGTTAACGTCAGAGCTTATCGATACTCCAGTCTTTCATAATTTAGCCCCGGGACCAATTACATACCGGGTTGCGGTACCCATCCCTACATATCGCCCAGCCCTAAACTACTTTTTACATTTTGAATGGCACCAAACTTTTTCTGCAGCATTTTGTGCTACTAAAGAAGTGATATTGCTATCTACAGGGCATTGAAGGTACTATATCTTGTGTGTTTTGCCCTTACTCACCCAAACTTGTCAACATGGCTATTTTATGTGAATACTAGTGCATTAGCAGGTAGTTGTGAATCACAGGTGTTTCATATATGAGATGAGGACATGGCCGAGAACTGTTTTGAAGGATATTGGTTTAAGAGGCTGTTGTGTCGACCTTGATTTATTGCAATTTTGAGGTGTTCAGTTTTATTTTGATTTCAGAAAATAAACATGATTTATTTTCTCGCAAATCAGTTTTTTCTTGTTTTTCACTGGCATTTCTCTTAGGTGTTGAGGACTAGTGCACCTACATTCAGCCTACATGAGTATAATGCTGTTAAAATCAGATACTCTTAAGACTTTTACTCAAGTCATATTGTAATTCATGTAATGTAATGTAATAATTCATGTAATTGAGTCACTGTTGCTAATTTTCGCTGTAAGGTCTGTACTTTTTCTCAAGTACTAATGTATCGGACTACAATGGTCACGCTGTATGTTTGTTCATTTCTTTCATTGTGGTGCTGTACATTCAGTATAAAACACAGTCTGTGAGAATATTTTGATGCTGTTTTGTCCATGGTAGCAAAATAATGTAGACCTTGAAGAACAGTGCAATAGTGCGTCATGAAAATAGTTGAAGAATGCACTTTGAAGAGCCAGTATGTTTCGACAATGGAATAACCGTTCTTTAACAAGTTAACAAAAAGAACCTGCAACTCTGATACGTTGAAGGCCAATTTTACTTGAAAGTAGAAGAATGTCAGTTTTGTAAGACTTTTTGTAGACCTGTGTGGACCTTTCATACAGATGTTAATCACTGATATAGGGGAGTGATTTCAGCAGGCTGCGAGAGAGCAGTAGGCATTGACCTCCATTAGACCTTGTGGATTCCCTGATCCTACATATCACCCAGCAACCCCCATGACCTGTGTTTCATCATGTGAATTGCAATCAATGAATCTCCAACAAATGGATATAAATCATTGTCACAGTCTGTAATAGTAAATCAATAGCGCTTTATCAAATGAATACCTCACTTGTGTCTGAATGTAAAATCAATCAAAGAAACGATAACAGGCACACGAATGTTGAGGCTTTGGTCACGTCACCAACGTTCAACAAGTTGCTTATGTTTTCATAAGTAATGCTCTTGTCTCCGTCTTATTTTCTGTGTAGAACTACAAAGACACCCTACAGACGCAGGTGCTGGAAGCGGTGGGAAACAAGAAGTTGGCATTTGGCGCTGATTTATCAGAAGAGAAACTCAAAGACTTTCAAGACGAGCAGATCGGACACCTTTACGAGCTTATGCTTGAGTCCACAAAACCCAACCGGCAGTTTGATATTCAAGACGAGGGAATACCAAAGTAACACCCTCTGAAGGATCTCCTCTCTATGGGGAAGTCGTCCCATCGGGACATATTTTGACTCATTATAAAGTACTTTTGTTCATAGCAAAGACTGATGATTACATTAAAATGCTTCAAAAAGTCTTCGTTGTTGCTTCTTTTTGATGTTTCTGAGGATGAAAGGAAAAGATAAAGGTGGCTTTGTGATCAGCAACTATAATGAGGATGCTTGAGCTTTGGTAACAGCACCACCACTGGTCAAAATTTCATTATGTCTTTAAACGTATGTGTGAAAGGGTTAAACTCACAATTTTTTCTATCCATTTTGCAAAGCACTTCTTGAAATGCTATGAGTACCAATTTTTCAAGGTCAACCATTTGCCATTCTACCATTTTGAACAGATTCACAATAGTTTTTTCATGGCAGCTCTTACACAGTTTGTCTAGTCTTGCGTAGTCAGATCTTCAGACTGACGGCAGAAGGTCTGGACTCCATTGCAGCTTCCATTGGCCAAAGATCCCTAAGAGGCCATCTGACCGACATGTAAAGCAACCAATCACAATTTGCTTTGTTCAGTGTCATGATTTGGGGAATGAATTCAATGTCCCTACAATAACAGACCGGCGTGCATCTAATAAATCATTCATCCAAGAATGTTGTGAAAGTTTACTGCAACAGTGGTGTAGAGTATATGACGTGAACTTCACATACTTAAAAAAAAAAAAATCCAGTGTTTAGCTGATCCTGGTAAGCGATCACTGTCAGTTTTAAACACAATGGCTTGCTTTCTTCTTCCATGAGGGAGTTTGGCATCACAACAGCTTTGTTTCCAAGCAGGCCGTCTAAGAACACACGTCTCCCAGAAAACCTGTAGAATTCAACCAATCAGATGACGACTTTGAAACTCTCAAATTGTTTTCCATTTTGAGTGCCATATGCATCAACAGTCCATAAGCTTCAGGCCAAATTGGATTTATTTTAATTTCCAAAGCCATTTAACCTCTAACACTCCAAAAACAGGTGATTGCAATGATGGTAAACAGGAAGTGAGGCTTTATCTCAGCAGCGTATTGACATATTGAAAGCTGTTATTGTCATTGGCATCATGTGCATACAGGAAAAGTTTGCAGACACATTAATAAGCCATTCTCCAGACACTCTTTGCCTTCATTACAGATTAAAAAAAAGCCCAAATCAATAATGCTTCTTTCACTCTCTGAATTATTAGATTAACTGAAAAATAATACCTCATTAGCCTGAGACAGTATCTGCTTATACACTTTCACAGTAGCGCTGCACAAAAAGCCTCTGCGCTGTCAGCTAACATCAGCTGATTGGTTGAGAGATATTTTCCCCCATGTTGAACTTTACCAAATACTGCACTGCAAGACAAGCATCTTTAGTCAAGTACGAAAACAAATTTAGTCGGCACTGAACGCTGAAATCGATGGCTTGTGAAGAAATCAGTATTCATGCGAGAGCATGCACACAGTTTCAGTACAAATAATGGCAAGGAACGGTCCAAATTGTTTTGAATAGAGGCGTTTAAGCGGAGGTGGTTTGTTTTGTTGCACTTAGCACGGCACCCTCATCACGCAGATTAATTTCTGAATGCCACTTCAATCATAAAACACACCGTAATGACACAATACAGCTCCTATAAGTGTACACGAGCCATAAACAGTGATCTCCCACAACAAAAACTCCCAAAAACATTGCGCAACAACAGTCATGCCACATAAATCAGTTTCTTTATATGATATTTTTCTACTTTGTTCTAGTGCTATAGCTTCAAGTTTACTGGAATAAAACACATGCTAACCGGAACATATTCACTCCATTAAGATGTACACCCTTTGTCAAGTTAGAAGGGCATGACTCTTGATCGGATGGCTTCTGACAGGAGAGAAAGTGAATGTGTATCCTTGGGGATTATGGGAAGACTTGGAGGTAATCTTTATGCTTTTGTCTCTGAATACAGAGAGAAAGTGATAAAACAGGAGCTTATGTATGGCAACCTTTTGCTTGAGCTTCTCGAGTCAAGAAAAGCTGAACAAAAGATGGGAAAAGGTCAGAAATCAATGAACAGATGATTCAACATGTCAGCTGTATACACTTCAAAATGATAAGCCACTGGAAAACCTTTACACACTGTAAAACTTTTTTTTTTTTTTCTCGAAGAATAACGGAGTGTGTTTATGAGAAAATACTACTTCATTCTTTCTAGTTCAAAATTTCATGTTTAATTCAATGTTACTTGCAATTCTTTGCAATTATTAGTGAAATTTACTAGCGATTTCTGACTGAAAATAGTCAAATCAAAGTGAATCCTTCATCAAATGTTTTTCAGGGCAGTGTTTTGGTTGAGACTTGAGACACATGGTAGTGTTTCTAAAGCTTGTGTTTCTAAAGTTAAATATCAGGGATTGATTACCCCAAAGTCCTTGTTGGATCTTTGAAGACGAGGGTAGTAATTACTTCTGGTGTAACGTATCATCATTGGTGTAAGTGACAAGTGGCCTATTGTGTGCTGAACTATAACGTTTATACAGTGTGTAATTAGCATAAAAGCTTGATTGAGGCCAAACCTTATGGGGAGGACTTGTAAATGTTATACATACACGACTGCCAGTCTGGAATACTGTGTGAGTCAACAAGCTATAAAATGAAGCGGTAGAAAAGATATACACAGAGCCAATAGGAAGTTTCCAGGTTATAATTAGGGAGCAGAAATGGAGACAGCAGACTGTGTGCCTCGGACAAATCGATTTTCATGTGTTGACACATTGTATTATTCATAACGTAAAGCATTGTTTTATTCAAACAATCCCCGCCCATCGCAAACAACAGATGCGGATGATTTGCTTATTTTGTAATTATGATTCCCATTAGTTTCTCTTTTCTGGAAACGGTATTTTTCCCTGCTTTCCTGTATTTGACTATTTTTTTTTAAATATACAAATAATGTTGTATAAATAATGCTATATACATAACTTGATCATTTAAATAATATATTTAAATAATTTCCCCATTACAATTAAGAGTATTTTAAATATGGATAATGACAAATAATAATTGTCATGTCCTAAAATGACTTAAATGGCAAAATATAGCTTCTTGCTAGTTTTTATTTTGCGTTGGGGATGAAATGTGACCTGGACATGTTTCTGGGCAGGTTTCATGAGATTCTCCTATTTATTCCATGATAAACAATACCTCACAACTTACTCACGACACATATAATTGCTCTGTTTTTTTTTTTCTTCAAGTCATTTCAGCCAAGAGTTGACATGAACAGGAAATTCAGCAATTGCTTTACTGCTTTAAGTGTTTTTGTGACATATCTTGGTTGTACTGAGAAGTTGTGTTTGGCTTGAATACACTTGTACATCTCCAGTGAACAGAGGAGCTGAGATGACTTTGAAGAGTACATTCAGGAGGTGACTCACTGCCTCATTCAGACATGGCTCTTTACATCTCAAGAGCTTTTCTACACTCTCTGTTTATGTTTCAAATATCTTCTGCAAACCACCTCCCTTTTCAGAGATATTTATGCAGCGCTGCGCTTTACTTACTGAAATAAACCAGACTCAACATTTCAATTCAAACACAATGTAAATGAAACACATTAAAACATACTGCGTGGTGAGAAAGCACTTGTGACAACAGTTTTAATTATGGTTTGTAGGAGCACTCTGCTGTTTTCAAGTGTATGATGTTAAAGGAATAGTCTGCACAAACATGAAAATTGTCATGATTTAGTCACCCTCATGTCTTTCATATCACTTTCCTTCAGCAGTGGAACACAACCCTTACGAAAAAGACGTTTATTCAAGTGTGCTATTAGTATACTTCTAGTACACTTACAAGTATACTACTAGTACACTGATATATGTATACTTACTACATAAAGTATACTTAAAAATATACTTGAACTTTACTTAAGTATACTTACTAAAATAAACTTGAAGTATACTACTTTTTGGTAAGGGAAGAGGAGTTTGCAAAATGTCCAACATTGAAAAAAAGAAAACAATTGGTGTAGGATTTATTTTGTAACAATTTTCACTCAGAAATTACTAGTAAATTTTACAAATAATAACAAACAAATGGCAAGTAACACTGAATTAAACATACAATTTTGAAGCAGAAAAACATGAGTTTGTTTCTTCATGGCAACAGATTTGGAGTAATGTAGCATTACATCACTTGCTCACCAGTGGATTCTCTGCAGTGAATGGGTGCCGTCAGAATGAGAGTCCAAACAGCTGATAAAAATGTCAGCGATTTTGTCGCTTCTGGCCAAAATACCAGTCCTAACCAACATATCTGTTTAAAACAGTTTTGGACTGTTCTTGCTTCTAAACGGTGCTTGATCTGTGCATATTTCTTTCCTGATTCAGACCAGATGACTTTTGTTGAAAGCAATATTATGGAGAGAGGATTCATATTTTAGCCGAATACAATGGTTTAACGTTAAAAACATCTTGATGTATTGTTTCTTACAAACATGCAGGTTTTCACTTCACAAGACATTAACTGATGGACTGGAGTGGTGTGGATTACTTGTGGATTGTTGTGATGTTTTTATCAGCTGTTTGGACTCATTCTGACGGCACCCATTCACTGCAGAGCATCCATTGGTGAGCGAGTGATGTAAAGCTAAATTGATCCAAATCTGTTCTGATGAGGAAACAACATGATCCTGAATAAATTATTAATTTATGAACTTATCATATCGTCAACAAGCAATCTAAGCTGTAATTCAACACTCCTCATTTGCTTCACTAATTCTGAGTGTGAACACGATGCATTGAAAGTGAAAGGGATTTGAGATTGTTTGTTGTGCTGGCGTCGCTCATGAAACATGACGACAATAAAATGTTTAAGTGTTTTGCCCCGCTTAAGATCACCCTGATGAAATTCATTCACTGTCTGTTTTTTCCATTATGATTCAGCTCTCTGCACTGATTACAGCTTTTACATTTTTGATGCAGCAAATCTTCACAGCTATTTCTATC